CGCCGCCTCGCCGCCTGCTGCGCCTGCTGCTGCTGCTCCTCCTCCTCGACCACACGATTCATCTGTTCCTCATCTACCTGGCTTGAGGAAGCGTTACCTCTCAGAGAGCCTCCAGTTCGTCGTCTTTTGCTGCCCACAGACAGCAGTTCCTGATTCATTTCCAAAAGCCAGCTTGCTACTTCTTGGACCTTGGCTAGACTATCAGAAGATGGAAAGGTCTTCACATTCTGCAAGGGAAAATGGGGGAAAAACAAGATTTGTACCATCCATGTCATCTTCTACTGCCATGTTCTATGTCTATATTCTAAACAGCACTAAAGATTGTAAAGAAATATTTGATGCCACTGAGCATTAAGATGTTCTTTAGTAATGAATATAAAGTTTAAATTGTAGAAGTTACAAGACTTCATGAAGACATACACAAAAATCAAATGGTAAACAGCTTTATTTTAATCCTTCTTTTAATAATTCTGAGTTTGAAGCTTTATAGTTCAGTTGCTTTGACCAATAAAACATAATTTAACTAAAAAGACAATTTTAAATTTTAAATAAGATATAGTTCATAAACTATATCCTGTGTAAAACTTCTACAAAGTGTTAAGAAATGTATCACAGAGAAAACTATTCAGTGATCAGTTAAGCTCAGGACATGCCGAGGTGAATCAAATTAAAAAGGCTTTTTACCCTGGAAATGTCCCAAACCTCTCTGATCACAGACTCTTTTTCAGACACAGTTTTCTGGCAGGTAATGAGTATAATCATTATGATTTTCATTTTTCACAATGAACGTGTAATGACTGGGTAGCAAATAAACAAAAAATTTTATTAAAAAAAGGAGGAAAAAAAGTTCATAAGTTCATACCCTCTGACCCAGTAACTCCACTTCTGGCAATCTATCCTAAGGAAGTAATCCTAAAACAGAAAAAAAAATTATACAGAGGATGCTCACTGCAGCTTTATCCACAAAAGCAAAAAATAAAGACAAAAGTAAATATAAATAAAAGTCCCTAATGTTCAAGGAAAGGGAGTCTATGAGATGGGATAATCATATACGGCAATCCTTAAACATTCATAAAACACGTGTGAAAACATGGAGGTTTATATTATATTTTGAAAATGCAGGAAGTTATATGACTGCAGTATGATTTTGTTAAACTCTATAAAGACTGGAAGATACTATCAAAATAAACTGCATCTTAGTCACTGATTTATGTTTATTTCTTTTTACCCCACTTTACAAATTTTATACATCAAACTTGTTTGATTTTATTTGCTTTTTTAACATAGGGCTAACATTTTATTTGCTATAGTGTATTTTCATAATGCTCATTCTTAAACTTCATCCTTTGCTAGTGTCTATATGGATGTGTTTGAAATTACACAAAATAATGCTACCATGTTTTACAAATAAATAAATAAATAAATAAATAAATCCACATCCACGATGGAAAACTTGAAATTGTGAGACAGAAAAAGTTCATTAATTAAGGACATCAAAAGAATGCACATTTTTGCATTTAAAACTCAAATACTACTTTTTTCAGAGAAAACTTTCTGTGCAACTTAGAACATATAAGACACAAACATCAACAAACAAAATCCTATATCCTAATGTGAAACTCAGAGATGCTGTATTACTACTCCTTACCAACACAAATACAGAATACGTCAAGGCACATCAAATACGTAACTCACATTTTTTTATCAATAACCTTATGAGCCCAAATTCAAGTTCAGTAAAATTAAATCTCACGGCTAACTTATTTTGACATTAAATTTCATAATTTCCTTGGCAAATGAATGTGCCAAGAATGGAAATGATTCAAGGTGAGAATCATACTGATAAAGAAAAACCAAACCATTTCTGAATGAAACTATTCTTTATTTCACAAACAAGACCGTCAAGGATTAAAGAGACTCAGTAACCTTTGCAAGATTGCTAGAGTCATACTAGCGCCAAGCAAAGAGGGAACAAGAAAGTGAATCCAACTGAGAACTGCTTCACTGGCCTCGGTCTATCAATTCCATAACTACGCATGACAATCTTCTGAGATAACACTGTTCTCTAATATCGATACTGCCTTCTTTCCCAAACCACAATCACTACAGTGCTGAAAGATGATGACTCTGAAACACCTATTTATTGAGCACTCAGTATGCTTCAGGCACATATTAATTTTCTGTCTTTACAAGTTAATCACTGGCCTTTAATGGCCTTTAATCTTTTCTGACCAGGACACATGGTAAAATCAGATCTTACATTATAATTCTGCATGCATATATTTAAACATTCCTAAAACAAAGGTTTCAGAGAGAAGGAATTATGAAATATTTCCAATACCTAAAGCCTCTGTAAACCACTGCCTTAATTAAATAAAGCTGATTCCGTTATTCTCAGTAATTGTGTTCTATGAAGCTGCTTCAACCACTGACCTGGCCAACACTGAACCATCGCTCCTGGGGGAAACACAGCTCCTATAAGCATCTGGTCGCAGAGTTCTCACCAACCCATCAATGCATAACTGCTTTTCTGTATGTTTCTGTTCATAGGCACCTTATGAATCTCTGTCGTGGATGAATGAGACTTAGCTGACAACACCCACCTTCGTGGTAAGGCACATCACAGCCTTCTTAGGCTTAGGAACATGGAACTGCACTTCAGCACTAGGTTTGGGGCTACTTAAACACCACAATCACTAACAGAAAGCACGAAAACAGGGAAAATGCTTCACTTGAGCCCACAAAACAGACATTACAGTGCGACAACTGAAACCAGAAGACAGAGGGTCGCCTTGGTGACCTCAACCTGAAATATACATGTCAGGTGGCTCCCAGTTGCGGCCGCTCTGCATGAGAGAGCCACGAATGACTGTGGAAGGATCACAGAATTGATCTGGGGTTATAAATACATTTTACTGAGTAGGCTAATTCTCAAACCCAGAATCCCTGCGTAATGAGGATGGACTGCAGCTAACTTTCCCTAAACCCTCTAGACAGAGCACTGCTTGCCATGCAAGAGTCACACGGTACTCGGCCCGGCCATGAAGGAGCTGCAGCATCATCTAGTCTTACAGTTCTGCTAATCTGACAAAGGACAGACGATAGAGAAATGAAAATCTCCAATACAGACATCCGGCACTAAATTTTCAAATAGTTCAGACAGTCCCGATACAATCAAGTTAGACTTTGCATAAAGTAATCACTGGAGAAAGAAAAGGGGGAAGGGACATTACTTTTCCTTTTGTAAGTGGGGAGAACAGCATTCTTCTGGCAGTGTCTTTCATGGTAGTGGGAAGTCCACAGGGGTCCTGACCTAAAGGTACCTAAAAAAGATACCTACAGTCAGCTCATCTCAGGATGAAGGAAAAACATTCATTTTGCTCTCCAAAAAATTTCAAAAATAAGTTATTTAGAGGAAACAGTTATTCTGAAACTTTCCCCAAGTCTTAGAAAATTCAAGTTAACTTCTAGCCACTAACCCTTGATCATCTAGTGGCACTTCAGACCTAATTTCAATGTGTGCATTTGTTTAAAACATGTTCCCCATGAACCTTTTAACTAGCTTCCTATAAACCTTACTTTTCAAAGACTTTTGATAACTAAAAAAAAAAGAAAAGAAAAAAAAATCTGACCTGTTTCTGCTAGGACGCCTAAAGGGATAAAAGCAGGCACAGTACACATACTAAACAAACAAGACGAGGCTGAGGACCCATCTTACTGTAGACGGAACCAGAATCTGTGAGCCTCAAAAGGAGACTCCAGCATAGACTAACTTTGAAATTGTAGTAGACACTGAGGAATTCTGTTTATATTAATAAAGCGAGTATTTGAAGCAAATTACCAAAGCTCCAAGTGACTGCACAATGATGTTTTCAGAAATGACACAGCTGGTAGACAGGCCCTGTAGCACAGTAATTCAGCACTGTGCGTAAGAAACCAGATCTCACATGGCCAACTATGGTTTGAATCCTGGCCCCAGCAGCTTGAAAAATATACCAGATGCATGTGCATGCATGCCCCAAATCCCAATCAGGTGGAGAAATGGAGAAGGGATTGTGGTGTGACCATATCCTACTGCAGGGTGCTTTCTCCTTTCCCCCTCTGTGGTAAGTGCCTGCACCTTCTGGCAACTAAAAAAAAGAAACAGAAGTAGTAGTAGTAGTAGTAGTAGTAGTAAGTAGTAGTAGTAGTAAATAGTAAGTAGTAGTAGTAGTAAATAGTAAGTAGTAGTAGTAGTAGTAGTAGTAGTAAGTAGTAGTAGTAGTAGTAAGTAGTAGTAGTAGTAGTAAATAGTAAGTAGTAGTAGTAGTAGTAAGTAGTAGTAAATAGTAAGTAGTAGTAGTAGTAGTAGTAAGAAGTAGTAGTAGTAGTAGTAGTAGTAAATAGTAAGTAGTAGTAAGTAGTAGTAGTAGTAAGTAGTAGTAGTAGTAATAGTAAGTAGTAGTAGTAGTAAATAGTAAGTAGTAGTAGTAGTAAGTAGTAGTAGTAGTAAGTAGTAGTAGTAGTAGTAAGTAGTAGTAGTAAATAGTAAGTAGTAGTAGTAAGTAGTAGTAGTAGTAATAGTAAGTAGTAGTAGTAGTAGTAGTAAGTAGTAGTAGTAGTAGTAGTAAGTAGTAGTAGTAGTAGTAGTAAGTAGTAGTAGTAGTAGTAGTAAGTAGTAGTAGTAGTAGTAGTAAGTAGTAGTAGTAGTAGTAGTAAGTAGTAGTAGTAGTAGTAGTAAGTAGTAGTAGTAGTAGTAGTAAGTAGTAGTAGTAGTAGTAGTAAGTAGTAGTAGTAGTAGTAGTAAGTAGTAGTAGTAGTAGTAGTAAGTAGTAGTAGTAGTAGTAGTAAGTAGTAGTAGTAGTAGTAGTAAGTAGTAGTAGTAGTAGTAGTAAGTAGTAGTAGTAGTAGTAGTAAGTAGTAGTAGTAGTAGTAGTAAGTAGTAGTAGTAGTAATAGTAAGTAGTAGTAGTACATAGTAAGTAGTAGTAGTAGTAGTAAATAGTAAGTAGTAGTAGTAGTAAGTAGTAGTAGTAGTAAATAGTAAGTAGTAGTAGTAGTAAGTAGTAGTAAATAGTAAGTAGTAGTAGTAGTAGTAGTAGTAAGAAGTAGTAGTAGTAGTAGTAGTAGTAAATAGTAAGTAGTAGTAGTAGTAGTAGTAGTAGTTGTTAAGTGGCTGGCATAGGCCATCAAGCTTGATCTCCAGAGTCACTTAGGAAGCTTTAGGGTATAGATGATAAGAAAATAAGCTAAACCGTGCTGATCAGCAGGATAGATAACTCACAGCCGGGAATTACCATCTGTAGACAGTTTAGGATTTTCACTGAATCCTGAGAGTCCCCACAAGACAGCAGGAGTCCTATTCTAGCCACACCACCTACTAACACTCCCATTTCAAAGGATGACCTCTTTATTTATCCATTCATTCATCCAGTCAGCCATCGATCCATGACAGAGAGGAAGAGGAAAAGACAGCACCCTGTCAGGGTCCCCAAGGTGCAATCCACTCCTGGTCTCAACCAGCCTGTATTACAGGCATGTACACGTGGCCTACACGCTAAGGAAAGCCCCAGGAAGCAAACCCAGGACGGTCCCACATGGGTCCCACTGCCACCACTGTGCCACTATCTGGCCGACCATCTGATTCACCATCTGGCCCGTGAACTTGCCATACTCCAGATCAGTAACTAATTTATTCATTGCTATGGCCAAGCTGATTAACGGTAAGCACCTGGACACAGGATAAGGTCAGCCATACCTTATCACACCACTGCTCAAAACACACCAAGCAAGAGCTTTCCTGTATCACTCGGTGTAAAAGCCAGTCTCCTCTATGGTTGCCTGTTAAGTCAGTTTGGTGCCCTGTTCAGCTATCCTGTCAAACCTACTCTGCCACAGGGACAGGGCTGTTTGGTAGCAGTCATCTCGGTCACTTGCGAATTTAGGGCAACAGTCACACCTGGCTATGTTGTCTCTGGGGTCCTCCCAGCAAACTACTTAACATGGTGAGAGTACTAGAACCGCAACTGCTTCAATACACAACAGCGGAGTGGGGTTGGGTGGGGGTTACTTGCACATCAAATCTGATCATTTGTTTCTCAGAAGACTCAAACTGAAACAGAAGGCATCAATCACTATAGCAGTCTTGCTATCAAAATCTTGGGGCAAAATTTAAAAAGTTCTGGAAGACACTGCAAAATGCCTAATTTCATTAAACTTCAGTCATGTCACTCAAGAATATTTAAAGAACATCTCTATCACACAAGGAGATTCAATGGCTTAGCAGAGGAAAAGTTCTCGACAGGCCATCTGAAAGGAAAGAGGTCCTCTGAAGAGAACAGCAGACTAGGTTTTGTTGAATACTTTGACAACAAAGGTTGACTGCAGAAACTAGCCTACATGGCACTGTATTTTCAGTTTCTGGATGGTGTAAAGAAAAATGGTTGTTTTTGCTGTTTGTGTTTACTTCAAGGGACAAGATTCCTAGCTAGATATAAAAAGAGTATTAGTTTTTGAAAAATGTCATGTTATCAAAAAAAATGTGAAATGTTTCCACTGCATCTCGGACTTGGGAGAGAAGAGGGGCAGCAGCAAGTGTTTAGTCTTACTGGAAATCACCTGGAGAAGCTGTAGAACCAAACTGAACAGACTTTCCTTCTCTTTCAACACAAGTGTATTGTGCTGGGCAAAGCATCCTTTTTTTCAATCTTCTGACTGTGAACACTTAACCTGAGAAAAAAGGAAGCACTGCAGTCTTAGGATAAATTTAAGATGAGTTTATGGACCAGCAGTTGGCGTAATGGCTATGTCACTGGACTCCCATGTAGTCAACCAGTTTGAGTCCCGAACCAGGTGGCATAAACTCACACCAGGCGCATGTGCGTGCGTACGTGCTCAAAATCCCGAGAGGAGAATGAAGGGGTAGAGATTGTAGTATGGCCATCCTCCCTGGGAGGTGATTTCTCACTTTCAGTCTCTGTGTGTCTCTGTCTTTCTGGCGAGCGCAACATGCCCTACAGCAAAAACCTCTCCAAAAAATAAATAAATAAATAAATAATATAAGTTTTTCTGATCTTCCCCCAGACAAGTTCTGGATTTCTGTAAACAAAAGAATATCCTTCCAGTCATAGGAAACCATTGAACATTATGCTGAAGTTTTCAACCTCTCACACATATGAGCAATTTTTTTTTTATTATTCAACAATTATCCAGTGTGCTCAGAAATGGTCTCATTTTAGTTCAAAAGGAAATTTGCATAGCTCAACTCATGTTTGATCTGAAAATGGTATTTGTGCAGCAAGAAAGTAAGGATAAGAGATAAATATAATTTTTCTATTAAAGATGTAAATATAATTTTTATTTTTAAATTCCATAAGTAATACCTTTTATGCATATAAGTCACCACAAAGGGTTCTTAAAAAGGTCACGGGAACTGTGTATTGTGAAAAAACTGTGCATGCATTTCAAAATTTGTTTTTGTACCAAAATAAACTTGTACTTCCATTCCATTTTTCCACAAAATTTTTGAAGTCTTCTCATAAAATAATCTACCAACTTCTAGGCCTATATTTGAGTTTGATTATATCACTGGGTAAGGAAACATTTTTTAATCTTATATAAAAATTGTGTCTAGGCTATATTTTTATGCATATTGCTTTGGTTTATGGCTTTGGCTTTACTATCCAATACTGTCAATAAATTTTCATGTAGGATGTAACATTAATTGAAATCAATTTACAAACTTTATTTAAATTAAATCTAACATTAAGAAAAATTAAATCCCATTTTGGCTTAAGCTAATTACTTAACAAAATTTTTTTATTAGTTTGTACAATTTATGAAAAGATAAAAGATTAATTTCAAGGGAAGTAAGCTAAGCTTAATTACCATGGGGGTTGTATCCTCTCCCAGGAAAAGCTGGCTGAAATGTCATTTTCAGTTTTAAGTATGGGGTGAAGATTACTCTTTCACATGCCATATTTCATTTGGATCTCACATAGCACGAATCTGTGATAAAACCTATTGGCTAAGTAAAAAAAGAAAAAGCAAAATTTAACAAGGAAAAAAATGGAATTTCTTCTACCTGCTCTAATGACTTATATAAGAGCTTATCCCCTCTCTGGTAAGGAAGAACCACACAAGAAGAGGTAGTTAATGAACTCACCAATATAAACAGATCCACAGAAAAAGAGTATCCTCTACTGAAAATTGTCCATAAATTATTACATCTACAGCTTACTGGTCAAACTACTGTACCATGAGCTGTAGGTACAACCACTTATATGAAGGGGTTCCAGAGATCTGAAAATTATTCTAAGTGTTTCTCCAGTGTAAGATTGAGAAAA